GTCCCATTAAAGCATTAAAGCAACATTGGTAAAAAAAAAAACTTCAAACTACACTAAAACAAGTGCACAATTCCCCCCTTCAGCAGTTGATCAGCCTAAAACAGCCCCCAAAGAAATTACAAATGCTTGCAATTCATCAAATCTTTATGAATAAAACCAGAAATCATACTCTTTGGCACCTTAAATATGATTAGGAAATGAAGCACATATATGCTAATGAATGAACTACCAGAAAGATCGAACCCAAGAAGACTAATAGAGGTTGCCTCCAAAATGCTCGAAGAAATGAGAAAGAGGGTTTCGAACTAGAAATAGTCGAACGGCGAAGCTTCAGCAAAAACAAACAACCAGTCGCAATCCAACAACAAAACTCGCCCCTTTTTTTTTACTCAAAGTAGAACAAAGAAAACTAAAGCTCCAAGCACACAAAGAACAGACCAACCAAGAAGGAAAAATCACTCAAACTTTTGGCAGAACCTCCCCCGTCTCCAAAATTTCAACAACCAGATCTCCTTCCCCAATTGGGGTTTTCATAGTCAGGAACGAGAAGCTTTACCTGCATTTACCTAGGCAGTGAGCCGAACATGAGAAGGACAAGCGAGAGGCCAAAAGGGCATAGGAGGAGTGGTGAGCAGATGAAAACAGAGCGACAAAGAGCAGGTGGAAGAAGAGAGTGTGGTGACAGCGAAAGGCTTTAGGCAGAGGCGAGCATACGAGGAGGGGACCTCAAGTCGAAGACGCGCGAAGGAGAGGGGCCTCGGCTGGGACGAATTCGGCCCTAGGGTACCCGCTTGGGCCGAATGGAGGAACAAGTCGCGGCTTGGTCGAATGCGGGAGAAAGAGGCGCGAGCGTGGGTGTAGGATTATGCATTTAAAGATTTTAAAATAAGGATTTTTCCTTTTTTTTTTTCATTTCACTTAAGTTTCGCCAATTTGAGTGCAACTTAATCTCGTTTGGAACCATATCAAAATGGATGTCTTTTCCGGCTAAAGTCGACGTTCCGGACGCGCCGGCGCAGTTTGTTTCTTCATTCGGGGTCGTTCGGGTAACCTCGCCGACAATTGGGTCAAAAAACGTGTCAAATTTGTTTTTCATCAAAATTTTGGATCATGATCGATCGCTTCAAAATTTTTATTGAATTTTTCGACAAATAACGGCGCAGACGATGCGAATTGTGGTAATTGAATGTGTCGACTGTTTGAATTGTAAAGTTCGTGCGCGCGAAGGTGCAAATTGTGCATAAGGCAATCCTAGGGCTTAATGACCCTATGGGGACTCTTTTTGGGTTTCCTCATGTTGGTTTCAACCTCCTAAGTGCTAGAGGTCAAGACCACACATGTGAAACTCCAAAAGGGTAAAGAAGTAGATTGGACTCCTAAAATGATGTGGGCTCCATTTCTAAGGCTCTAAGATAGTCAAAGAGAAAACACTAAAACTAGACCCTAAATCCTAAGAAGAAAACTAGACCTCACTAAAAATGAAGTCAACACACCTTTATTTTTTTTTAATTGTTTTAGATGAAAATTCATTCTCTTATCATTTAGATCGCTCTTGAATAATGTAAATTTTGAGCCTGAAACAAAGTGGTCGAAGGACCAGTTCACATGGTTGAACCGGTGGGACCAACCAATCCACTATGATGTTTAACCATTACAAATAGCTGCTTGGCTTTAAGAAAACGAAGTGACAATACTTTCAACCACTCCAGCTTCACTACTAAAGTATAGAGAAGACCTCCCGAAGGAACATCAAATGAATGAGAACCACATAAATCAAATAGGGAGAGCAATCAAACAAAAAGCGTAAATAAGCATAAGTAGCACTAATGAACCATGCAAAAAAAATATTACATAGTACTATTCCAAAATGAGGATAACGACACAGAAAAAACAATCCTTAACCTGAAACCTAAAAACTACACTACTAAAAGCCCATCCGACCTCCCAACCATCTCCATGCATCCTATCAAATCCTAATCCAACACCAAAGGTAAGTCAACAACAAAAAGGGAACCAACTTAGTGAAAAATTTGAATACAAAATTAGTAAAATTTGTAGTTACAACTATTAACATGACCAAAGTAATCTCATTTGACTATTCATGGGCAACTTAAGTAGTCTACCAATCTTGTCAACTTAGCGTAAGACCACTCATCCCAAGTGTTGTCACCCATGATTAAAGAAAATGTCCCTACACAATAATTAATTATCATTTACGTATTTAAAAGTTTCAATTATTTAGCTCATCAACACCTAGTTAAGATCACATAGAATTGACAAAGTCAAGGTCAAGATCACACAGCACTAATAAATCATTCTCATGATAGAAGAACACAAAACACCGACAAGTCAAGAAATTTAGAAGATCCAATAGTGACAACATTATCCTTTGAAGGCCTACATTTTGCCTGCATCTTCCAATTCATTAGCTTATTTTATCATTAACATTTCTCACACAAACAAACATAAGAGTCGACTAAAAATAATGAAGAGAACAAGTAAATAATGCATAAAAAAATCAAATATCATCTATCATGCTACTCATCCAAACATGCCAAAGGTTAGAAAAAAAATTGAAGATTCACATCATTGAGATGATGAAAGGCTATTAAAGATGGATAAAGACTCTATATCTGAAGTACACACAAAAAGTTAGAATCAGTGGCTTCACGATTATTAGTGCATCAGTTCGTTGGGGATGTCCTTTTATAGCTCTAAGCAAAGCATATGCTCTCCTATACCAGCTCATTCAATATCAACCCCTCACCTTATAGATGTCCAAACTCAAATAGAAGAGGCAATTATTTTGCCACTCATAACGTCCCTAGAACATGGCATTACTTGTCAATTGCTTTTATAACAATAAATAATTTTATTTATTCTAATGGCTAACAAGAGGAGAACAATAAAAATTATTTCCAATATCAAGAGCAAAAAAGCAAAAGCTGGACCAGTTCCTCTCCCAGGCATAGCTCTACTTGACCTTTGGCAGAGTCATGTTGAATGGCCATTCTTATCATTTTGCACTACACTTTGCCTCTCAAATGGATTCAAATATACTTAGGCACCCACTCTTATGCTACTTGTTCACTTTGCCAAACTAATTGGCTCATTATCAACAACTTAAGTGCTTGATATCACTAGCATCTAAGAACTCAGTACTCGGCCAATAAATCAGCTGTCATAACAACTCAAGGTTCTGGACCTACTTGGCAAGGTGTCAAACCACTTAGCTGAGATACTCGAATACTGACTCCCTTAAATTAAGTCAGTCTGAAAGGAATTCCTAAACACAAGAGTTCTTAGATGTTAAAATATTCTATAACCCAATCCTAATATTTGAGTTTCAAACCATGAATTCTTCTTCACCATTCAATCTAATAACTGAAGCAATATGTTACGGACTAACTTAAGCAATATGTCACGGACTAACTTATCTCTAGTCAACTGTGCGGCTTTAGCACTCTTTCTTGGCACTAAATCAGTCTAGTCCTCACAACACTTGAACTTGTAAGCACACAACACTTCTGGAAGAAGAATATGGAGAAGTATTGAAGAAAGAAACACTTCACTTAAAAATAAAGATTACAATACTTGAATGCTTGAAAGTTTAAAAGATTTTCTTGGATGGTTCCAAAAAAGAGGGAGGGACTTCTATTTATAGTCTTCTCCAAGTCCTAGATTACATTAGCATATAATAATTTCTAGATAGTTCTACATTATTCTTTACATAAACATCCTTTTAAAACATTTCAAAATACTCTAGAATTCTCTTGAAGCGTGCTTCTTTCAGCATATTTCTTGAATTATGTGAAAGGACTTTATTTATAGTCCTCTGCCAGGCCTTAGTGAACTTTCTATATTCTTTGAATTGATTGACTTCTAGATACTTCTACATTGTCCTATTATAAATACAAGATTCTAGAGTTTTTCAAAGCTATCCTAGAGCTCTCCTTGAAGCTCACCCCTTCAGTTTTTTCTAGAATGTCGTGGAATCTTCTAGAGTCTCTTGGATTGTTCTCTACATTATGGTTTTCTCTAGAATCTTTCATCCATGGTTGTCTTGCCAACATATTAATTATAGCAGAGTGTGACAATTAGCTGAAGCATTATTAACTGGCTTTCTCTAGAATCTTTCATTCCATGAGTTTCAAACCATGAATCCTTCTTCACCATTCAATCTATTAACCGAAGCATTATGTCACAGACTAACTTATCTCTAGTCACCTGTGTGGCTTTAGCACTCTTCCTTGGAACTAAATCAGTCTAGTCCTCACAACACTTGAACTTGTAAGCACACAACACTTCTGGAAGAAGAATAGGGAGAAGTATTGGAGAAAGGAACATTTCACTTAAAAATAAAGATTACAACACTTGAATGCTTAAAAGCTTGAAAGGTTTCCTTGGATGGTTCCAAATGAGAGGGAGGGACTTCTATTTATATTCCTCTCCAAGTCTAAGAGAACTGTCTAGATTATATTATCTTCTAGATAGTTCTATATTGTTATTTACATATACATGCTTCTAGAACTTTTCAGAATACTCTAGAATTCTCTTGAAGCGTGCTTCTTTCAACATATTTCTTGAGTTATGTGGAACCTTCTAAAATTCCTTGGAATATTCTCTTTCTTTCTAGTTTTTTTCTAAAATGTCGTGGAATCTTCTAGAGTCTCTTGGATTGCTCTCTACATTATGGTTTTCTCTAGAATCTTTCATCCCATGGTTGTCTTGCCAACATATTAATTATGGCGGAGCGTGACAATTAGCAATTAGTTTTATTTCAGTTTCTCTGATTTCATATCAAATTATCCATATCAAAATTTTACAAGAATTTTATAATCCTTGATTTGATTCTTTTCTCCGCAAAATGAAAAAAAATTGTTGAGTCGGCAATGTAAATGTGAACTCTTTTATACATAACTAGTATTATAAATAAATAGATAGCTTCCAACAATATAAAGAAAAATAATATATAATGGCTTTATAGGATTACGACTCACCTCTCTAGTGCTTGTCTTGTGCAAAGAATATACAGATTGAGAGGCAACCTGATAAAAAATGAAAAATTATCAAATAGTAATCTAAATTATATTAGTAAGAGGCAGAATTACCTTAATAGCCACAGAGAGGAACTCCATATCAGAACCTTTATTCCTCGTCCCAAAGGGAGGATTCATAACAACAGTGTCAATCAGGTAACCTATAAAATAAATATTAGGTACCACATGCATAAAATCATCAGTGAAAAGAATAAAATTACTTCCATTTCATCACTTCCACCACCCGTAATGGCTTGATTATTTGTTCGAGTTTTTACTTGTGGAATCCAAGGTAAACATTCCTTGAGCATAATTTTTAAGAAAATATTCAATAAATTGCAACTGCTTCCTAGAAGAGTTTCAACTAAATTCTATAAAAATAAAGCCAAGTTTCCAATCAATCTCATAAACCATTAAAGAATTTAACATTCCCCAGAATCACCTTAAAAGACAGGAATTTTGGTCAATTGTACATAAAATATGAAGGCCATGCTTGGAACCGTTTTATGTTCCATTTTCAAGTTACTTGTTTTGAAAAAAAAATAAAACATAATTGGCCACATTTACTGGCTAATGGAAATGTTTCTTCGAATTCAAGCAAGCACCACAAAGGTGTTTACATTTGATTTCAAATCGATGCTGCATTAGATCAATTCCAAATTTTCATTAAACATTACAACTATTTAATAATATCAACACTTTGGTTTGGGGACATAGACTAACCCTTTTATTAAAGTGGTTTGAAGCTATTTCTTTCATGTGATAAAAAAGAAGAATCCATATTACTTCCCCTCATCAGCTTCTTTTTCATTTCTAATTTCTTTTTTTTTTTCCAATTTCTCTTCAAGAAGCTAAGGACTTGCTGAATTCTTATTTTAGTTCTTAATTTAGTGACCTAGACTAATCTTTTTTGAAAGTTGATCAAATTAAATTAATTTTTCTTGTGATCAAGAAGTCTTCATTCCAACTAAAATTTATTTCAAAAAAAAAAACTCCCTTATGATCATAAATAAAACATTTAAAGATCCAAGCACCACATCAATCAACCATCAAATATTTAACTCTTCCAATGAAGGGTTCATCAAGAATAGAAGAGTTGACATAAAACAAGAATGTAAGTTTCAACTTCATTTTTCATTTTTTGTCATGCTTCCATGAGCTTCGTCAAGCATGATTAAATTTAAATTGCCTGTCAAAGGCTCAGATTGCAATAAAAAAATGATTTCATTATATTCACCACAGTTGCACCAAGGTCTATGGAAATTTAAGAAGAATTATATGCATGCCAACCCTAGAAAATTAAATTTCAAAGAAATTTGACCATATTAGCTCTCCTCAAAAATGACAGCATCACCTTATTTTAAAATTCAAGATGAGCCACTTCCATGCATATTAAATTCAAACATTCTCATGAAAAAAGGCTTAAATTAAGAAGTCAAAATAATAAATATTATTGGAGGTAATTTCATTTTTTTAAACCAACCATAGGGTCGACCGTTAAGGTTCAAATCCAACCACTATTCTCTCTCTTAAAGAAAAGCTTAAATTATGGAGTTATATCAATAAAACCTTAAATGACACATTTCTAAATTCATATTCAACCACTCCTCTCTCGTAAACTCAACACCATGAAGGAATTTTAATGAATTATTTTGAACAAGTAATTATCATATAACTACAACAAATATGTGATAGCATTATCTTAGAAAAACCAGTTGGATTGAATCATGTAAGGTGATTTTTCCATTTAGCTTAGAAGATAAGCTTAGTGGCTCTCTCCTAAATAGGAACTCTGTTCAGTTTCCAATAAAACCATTTTTAAAGTTCACCTTAAATCATGAAAGAATAATGCATTTCTCTTTCACTTATAGTTTATATTTTTTTCTCATAATTCAAGGTTATCATATCTCCACTCTCCACCCTCCATAAATAATGCTGGTGGGGTTTTCCCCTCGCCATCCAATTCACCACGACCTTCCATTGCTATTCAGATAAACTAATGAAAGATTACATTGAAGGAATAGTTGAATGATATCCATTTAAAATGCGGTATCTAAAGTTAGAAGTAGAATAAATGCATTAAAGGATGGAAAATTGCCCATATGAGTAGATGAAATTAGTGTCCAAGGGCAATGAAGGTGAACAAGTAGATCTAAGATTTACTTGAACGGAAGTGATAGGAATGAGACAAATTTCACAGAGATTAGAGAGAAAAAATTTTAATCCACAGGCACAAAATAATGCAAACCCAAATACAAACAAATAAACCTACAATCCGAGACGTAGGTTAAATCTCTCTCAAAGCCCAAACTCCTAAAAGAAATATACACACATATCCTAACCTTAATCATATTAATCCTCATTTCCACCAAACAAAAATAATTAACAAATGACTATATTGTCCTTTTATTATTGTGCCTAAAATAGATCTTCAAATTATTTGGCGGGCTTAGTATGGGTTTAGTAGGACCACTCGACCAAGTGGAGCACAAAACGAAAGATATTGTAGGCATCGATCTAACATTACTCCCCTCCCAATAAGACACCTTGTCCTCAAGGTGGAAGAGAGAAAATTATCGTTGGATCAAGTCATAAGGATCCCACATGCTATCATAATATGACAACCATTTCCATTTAATCACCACTTCCTTCTCACCTGTTGATTTCTGACGCACCAGTTTTAATTCCAACAGCTCCAAGAGAACTTCCATATCCTCAGTCAAAATAGGGGGAGTGAAGAATAGGTCACGTTATCACCAATACCACGTCTCAGCTGTGATACGTGGAACACTAGATGGATTGTTGACTAAGGCAGCATATTTAAATGATAAGCCACCGCACCAATGCACTCAATGATCACATAAGAAGCAAAATAGTGCAGGGAGAGCTTCTCATTCCAACATATTACCAATGACTTCTGTAAATAGGGTCAAAGTTTTAGATACACCATATCTCTCGCTGCAAAATGCAAATCCCTTCAATAGTCGTCAGCTTATTTTAATAAATTAATGAGCTATCAATAAATATCCCTTCAATTCTGCTAATATCTTGTTTCTCTCTTGTAAATACTGATCCACCAGAGCCATCGGCATAGTAATGTATCCATAATGCACTGAATGGGGTGGATCGTGACCATAGAAGATATTAAAAGGAATGGTCTAACAAGTTGTATGATATGAAATATTTACTAATACTCTGCCCAAGCTAGCCATTTAACTCACTGCTTAGGTGCGTCGAATACAAAACAATGCAAAACAATCTTCACACTCTGATTAACAACTTCGAATTGTCCATCAATATGTGGGTGGTAATTTGTACTTCTCTTCAATACGGTCTCTTACATTCCAAACAACTCTCTTCAAAAATGACTCGAGAAGTCCTTGTCTCGATTTGACACTATCGATTCTAGAATTCCATGCAAACGGGTAATCTCTTGTATAAAAAAAATAGCGATAGAAACAGCAATGTAGGGGTGACGTAAAGAGACAAAGTGGACATACTTACTCACCGGTCTACCACCACCAAGATGGTCATAAATCCTTCTGATCGAGGTATGCCATCAATGAAATTCATCGCCACCTCCTCCCAAAGCTTCACCAATAATGCCAGAGCTTGTAGCAACCCTTAGGCGCTAACGCCATATACTTGTGTCATTAGCATACATCGCGCCTTGAGATCATGTTCTCCATATATTTTCTTATTCCACCCAATATAATTATTTTTCTATCCTCCGATATGTTTAAGTACGTCTGATGCCCCCTGATAACGCTACCGTGAAGCTCCTTTAATAACATCGTTATGTGTCTTCAATTTCGGGGTAATAAATAACGCCCCTGATAAAGTAAATGTTGGTACTTCAATGAGTAACTAGGATAGTTGTTCTCGTGGTTCAATAATCGGACCTTGCCCTCCTCATCTAACTCACTCGCTTGTCTCAGGACCTCCCAATCTAAAACCAAAGGGGCTAACAATGCCAACAATTGAGGCTCCTCCATCCATCTTGATAAGGCATCAAAGACTTTATTCTCTAATCCCGAGAGATAATGAATCTCAAGGTGATATCCCAGCAGTTTAGATTGCAACCTATGATGCTCCTCTATTATCATACGCTGCTCTAACAGAATTTTAAGGTTGTGTTGAACTGTGTGTACTGTAAAACACAACACCAACAAATAAGGTGTCATTTATGAATAGCAAGCACAATGGTCATGAGCTCTCGATCATAACTGACTCAAGTCTAGCTCTCGCATTCAGCACTTAACAAAAATATGCAATGGACTGTTGGCACTGAATGAGGAATACGCCTAACCCATAACCTGAAGAATCTATCTCTATAATGATTAGTTCGTTGGAATCAGGTGACGTTAACACGGGTACACTTGTCATAGCCTTCTTTAACTTCTCAAAAAGCTAGATCCCCACTTCCTCGTACTGAAAGTTATCCTTCTTCAATTGCTCCATTAAAGGCCATGCAATAAAGTTGTAAACCTTCATGAACTTTCAAGAATTTCATGTAAGTATTTAAAAATCCTCCCAACCCCTTCAAGGACTTAGGTAGTGTCCCACATAGCCACCATCTTAGATTGATCCGCCAACACTTCTGCAACAACACCACATGTACTACGTATTCCACCTTCATCTAGGCAAGTATTTTTCAAGTTTTTATAGAAGTTGGCCTTCACATAGTACCGTCAACACCTTCTTCCAGTGATCAATGTGGTCTTCCAAGGAATGGTTGTACACTAAGATGTCGTAAAAAAAACCAACACAAACTTCTCAAGGAAAGGCTGAAACACATTGTCATTCGTGATTGAAATGTAGTTGAAGTGTTGGCGAGCCCGAATGGCATAACCAGAAACTCATCATGAGCCTCATGAATTGGAAAAACAGTCTTATGCACATCCGATGATCGCATCCAAATTTGATGGTATCCTGACTTCAAGTCAATATTGGAAAATACTGCAGCCCCAAGTAAAGGGTCCATAAACTCATCAATCATCGAAATGAGAGATTTATCGGGTATTGTTTCCTTATTCAATGTCTGACAACCTATACAGAAACACCAACTCTTATACTTCTTCACTAGCAAGATCGAGTTAGAGAAGGGACTCGTGCAAAATTGTATGATTAATGCCTCCAACATATCTTCAATTAAACTATC